CATGCTGTCCCTGTCCTGGGAGTGTTTGATGGGGGACAGTGTAGAGGGAGTTTTAGTCTGTATCTAACCCCATGTTGTCCCTGTGCTGGCAGTGTTGGATAGGAATGGTGGAAATGGGAGATTTTCCCAGTCGGTACCTGTACTTGATGCAAAGTTGGACCCCCAGTGGCCCACACCTGTCCATGTAGCTCTGGCGAATGGCCTGGCGAGTGGCTCTGACTGTGCTCACGGTCATCGTCACCAGGGGACACGTGCTGTCGGGGAGTGGGGGAACAGTGTCAGCAGGAGCTCCATACACCCTCACAATCACACCCCACCACGAGACCCCCTCCCCTTCCCCTCACACCCCTTCATTCCCCTCCCATCACACACACTCTCCTCACATCCATCTAAACCCCCTCACCCTCAGTCCCCACCCCACCAACCCCCTCCTCCGTCTCTCTCCCCCATTCTCATTCCCCTCCCTACGCCCTCCACCCTCACATTTCCTCCCCGCTCTCCCTCCCCTACACATCCCCTACATTAGTTGATAAAGTGACCGTCCAGCCCAGCCTCCCCCAGACTCCTTCCGGGTTCTCCCCTCCTACGGTAGTGGGGGGGAGCGGGGTGTTGTTATTGATCAGCCCATGTTACTCACAGTTTCTGACACCGACTTCCTGCAGTGCCCTCGGGACATTCACATTTATTAAACTGTTGACAGGTGCCTCCATGTTGGCACAGGGGAACACACGGAGTGATCACAGCTGCTGACACAATCAGAGAACGGTCACTGCACAGCAGGAGGCCATTTCACCCATCACACTGGTGCTGGCCCACTGCTCTGCCTGCTCCCACATTTTCCCACAATGATTCAATTGTCTCTTAATGCCTTGGTCGAGCCTGCCTACCCCACACTCTCATTGCAGACCCTAACCACTTGCTGCTCATTCTGTCACCATTGCTTCTTTCATTGATCTCTGCAAATCTCTGACCTCTGCTTTTTGATCTTTCCACCAACAGGAACGTTCTTTACCAATTGACTCAGCCCACAGCCTACATGATTTTACACACCTCCCTCCAATCCCCTCTCAGCTACCAGGTCTCAAAGTTCTGACCTCCTTCATTCCTGGGCTGTGAGTGTCACTGTCCTTTCTCACTACTGTGTTAATTTCCTCTTTAACCAGCAATGCCACTCCGCCACCTTTTCCTTTTCGTCTGTCCTTCCTAAATACTGAATAACCTGGGACATTCAGTTCCCATTCCGTGGTCACCCTGCAGCCAGGTCTCCATAATCTAATTATATCGTACCCGTTTACATCTATCTGTGCGATTAGTTCATCCACTTTATTGCAGATGCTCCGTGCATTAAGGCACAAAGCCTTTAAGCTTGTCCTTTTAACAGTGTTTGTCTCCTCCTTATTTTTCTCAATAGCCCTGTTTGAATCTTGTTCTTGGTTTCTCAGCCTATCACTTTTCTTACTCCCTTTTCTAGCTTTTGTTTTTACCTTACTGCTTTCTGTCCTGTTTAAATTGGCAGGCAGTAACTATTGGGGTGCCACAGGGATCGGTGCTGGGACCCCGGCTATTCATGATATATATTAATGATTTGGATGAGGGAACAAAATGTAACATCTCAAGGTTTGCAGATGATACCAAGTCGGGTGGGGGGTTAACTGTGACGAGGATGCAGAGATCCTTCAGCATGATCTCGACAGGTTGGGTGAGTGGGCAAATCAATAGCAGATGCAGTATAATGTTGATAAATGTGAGGTTATTCATTTTGGAAACATAAACAAGAAGGCAGATTACTACCTGAATGGCGGTAAATTGGGAGAGGGGAGTGTGCAGTGGGACCTGGGTGTCCTTGTGCACCAGTTGCTGAAGGTAAGCATGCAGGTACAGCAGGTGGTAAAGAAGGTAAATGGTATGTTGGCCTTCATTGTGAGAGTTTCGAGTACAGGAGCAGGGATGTATTGTTGCAGTTATACAGGGCCTTGGTGAGAACACACCTGGAATATGCAGTTTTAGTCCCCCTTTCTGAGGAAGGATGGTCTTGCTCTCGAGGGAGTGCAATGAAGGTTTACCAGGCTGATTCCGGGGATGGTGGGTCTGATGTATGAGGAGAGATTGACTCGGTTGGGATTGTTTTCGCTAGAGTTCAGATGAATGAGGGAGAATCTCATAGAGACTTATAAAATTCTAACAGGACTGGACAGGGTAGATGCAGGGAGGATGTTCCCGATGGTGGGTGTGTCCAGAACCAGGGGGCACTGTGTGAGGGTTTGGGATAGTTAAGATTTAGGACAGAGATGAGGAGACAGTTCTTCACCAAAAAGTGGTGAGCCTGTGGGATTCATTTCCACAGGAAGTAGTTGATGTCAAAACATTGAATGTATTCAAGAGGTGGCTAGATATAGCACTTGGGGTGAATGAGATTAAAGGTTACGGGGAGAAAGTAGGATTAGGCTATTGAGTTGGATGATCAGCCATAATTGTGAAGAATGGCTCAGCAGGCTCGAAGGGCCAAATGGCCTCCTCCTGCTCCTATCTTCTATATTTCTGTGTAATTTCTACTCTTTGTTTCCTCTCTGCCAACCAGTTTTCTATCCATCTCAATACACTTCTCCCAACCAATGCTCTTTAATCTTGCACAACAATCTTTTATAAGGGACTTTATCAAACATTTTCCAGGTTGGTATTATTAAATCTATAAGACCATCAGATATAGGAGCAGAAGTAGGCCATTCAGCCCACTGAGTCTGTACTGCCATTCAATGAGATTGTGGCGGATCTGATCATCCTCAACTCCTCTTGTCTGCCTTTTCCCCATGACCTCCATTCCCCTCCTGATTAAAACTCTGTCCCAGCCTTCAATATACTTAATGACCCAGCCTTGGTAGCCCTCCACAGCCTCTGAGAGAAGAAGTTCTTTCTCATCTCTGTTTTAAGTGGGTGACTCCTTATTTTGAGATGATGCCCTCTGGCCCAAGACTCTCTCACAAGGGGAAACAACCTCTTCACATCGACCCTGTCAAGGCCCCTAAGAACCTCGCAACTTATTCTTCTAAACTCCAAGGAGTACAAGTCCAACCTACTCAATCCCTCCTGATAGGAAATCCCTCTGCGTCAGGGATCAATCTCTGAAAGATTGGCTTTTATATATTACTGAATTGCTCAACTTCTCCCCAGTTCTCTTAAATTGGTTTTCCTAAAGTCCAAATTGTATCTGTTGACAACAAATTGTCAGATAGAAAAGACAATGTGAAAGACTCTGGTACTGAGAAAATAATGCTGCAACTTCCCAGCAAGTCCACAAGCATCTCTGCAGAACACCATAACACATAGTTCACAATGATGGCATTACCTCGAACCTAAAGACAGAGACGAATTCTGACAGGCTTCAAGCTGCATGATGTGGTACGGGTATCAGTTACAAATACAAAGCTGGAGAGAGGCGCCAGGTTTCATGAGACAAAATACAAAGAAAGATGGCGTGAGCAGAGTGATGAAACTAAAGAAGTGTCCACATGACCTTGTGGATGGCGCCTTTCTTGGGGCTAAATGAGTCAAGTGGTCTGGGAGCGTGTGGGTGTATGGCATTGAGAAAGAGGGTTCGCTATGATTGCACAGGATGGCCTACCTTTGCTCCTAGTATTAATGCTCGTGTAAGTAGGTCCAGGTCATTCTGACCAAGGGATGTCGATTGTGAGGGATTCAGTGATGGTAACACCATTGAGTGTCAAGGGGCAGTGGTTAGATTGTCTCTTATTGGTGATGGTCATAGCCTGGCATTTGTGTGGCATGAATGTCACTTGCCACTTGTCAGCCCAAGCCTGGATATTATCCAGATCTTGTTGCATGTGAACACGGACTGCTTCAGTATCTGAGGAGTCACAAATGGTACTGAACATTATGCAATCATTGGCAAACATCCCCACTTCTGACCTTATGATGGAGGGAAGGTCATTGATGAAGCAGCTGAAGATGGTTGGGCCGAGGACACTCCCTTGAGGAACTCCTGCAGAGATGTCCTGGAGCTGAGATGATTGACCCCAAACAGGTACAACCATCTTCCAATGTGTCAGGTATGACCCCAACCACCGGAGAGTTTGCCCCCAATACCCACTGATTCCAGTTTTGCTCTGGCTCCTTGATGCCACACTCGGTCGAATGCAGCCTTGTTGCCAAGGGCTGTCACTCCCACCTCACCTCTGGAATTCAGCCCTTTTGTCCATGTTTGAACCAAGGCTGTAATGAGGTCAGGAGCTGAGTGGCCCTGGCGGAACCCAAACTGGGCGTCACTGAGCAGGTTATTGCTGAGCAGGTGCTGCTTGATAGCGCTGTTACTGACACCTTCCATCACTTTACTGATGATCGAGAGGAGACTGATGGGGCGGTAATTGGCCGGGTTGGATTTGTCCTGCTCTTTTTGTGATGTCTGGGCAATTCTCCAAATTGTCAGTGGTTTCACAGTCACCACTAGACAAGTTTACAATTCCAGATTTATTAATCGCATTTACATAGCACCAGCTGCTGGGATGGGATTTGAATGCAGGTCCCCTGAGCTTCAGCCTAAGCCTTTGGATTACTATTCCAGTGACGTTATGACAACACCACCATCTCCTTCCTGTGGGGGCCCAACTCACAACATTGTTAGGAATAGAGCCAAGAGGCTCAGGGCTGATGTCAGGGGTATCTTGTACACATAAAGGACAGAGGACCACCGCTCTCCCTCAAAAACTGGGCATGCTGGGGCCAGCAGAAAAGTGTCCAACAGCTCGAATGGCTGAGAGCTGAAGCAATCAGCAGCAAAACTGGAGAACCAGGTGAGGAAAGCCAGGGTAATGCTCAGGGCTCAACAAACTCATCCTCTTCACATTGACTTTCCCAAGGCCGGCTGTGTTCGGGTGGGGGTGTGATTTAAGGGTGACGGTGAGGGAGCATGGGGGTACAACGTAAAGGTCAGGGGGTGTGGGTGATAGGTAGAGCAGATTGGGATTGTACAATCAGGAGATGTGTCATGAGTGTAGGAGGGTTGAGGCTTGTAGGAATTGGGGGTACGGAGATGGGGGTATGTGAGGACACGGGGTAGATGCTGGACTATGTATGGGCTGTTGGGATTGCTAATTAAAGTTCAGGGATATATAGGGTATGGGGGACAGGGGGCCACAAGGTGGCGGGTATTTCATATTGAGGCTGTTTGGAGTTGGGTGTCAATGGCAGGTACTGTATGGGCGATGTACTGTGGAGATGGGTAGTTCTGAGAGCACGGATACACCGGGTTGGTTGAAGGGAATGGGAATTTTGGGAATCTTACCTGTCTCACAGTTCTTTCCCGTAAACTGGCTGCGACATCGGCATTTATTGTATCCAACACACGTGCCTCCATTTTTACATTTCGGGACACACACAACTGGCTCTGTAACCGAGCACACTGGGATCAATCCAACAGGAAGCAATGACAAAACACCCACAGATCTCTGAAATAACTTATCAGTGGGTCAGTGCTGAGGGAGCGCCGCACTGTCGGAGGGTCAGTGCTGAGGGAGCGCCGCAGTGTCGGAGGGTCAGTGCTGAGGGAGCGCCGCACTGTCAGAGGGTCAGTGCTGAGGGAGCGCCACACTGTCGAAGGGTCAGTGCTGAGGGCACTGATTCTCTGCCTCTCTATCTCCGCCTCCGTCACCATCTCCCTGTCTATTTGCTCCCATCCCAACTTGCTCTCTCTACCTATGTCTCTCTCTCTCTCGATCCCAGTCTCTCTCTTTCTCTCTCTCTCTGGTGAATTCTTGCTATCAGATTCCCACCGTTCGGATGGTTCTGCCGAGTGTTTGTTTGTGTCGTGGTCACTTACCAATCTGGCAGCGAGCTCCCTGCCACCCTCTGGGACAGAAGCACTTATTGACATCGATGCACTTCCCTTTGTTCAGGCAGCGTGGAGTGCACATGGCTGTAAGCGAGCGACATCATCATATTACTGCTCAATACAGAGTGTGATGCAGAAAGCTGCCATCCTTAATCTGGTCTGCCGTACATGTGACTCCAGACCCACAGCAATGTGGTTGACTTTTAATATCTCTCTGGACAATTAGGGATGGTCAATAAATGCTGGCTTGGCCAGTGACACCCACATCCTGTCAATGAATTAAATTCAAAACTACCCAATCGACGTCCTGTTGCAGACTGCTTACATACTCTGCTCAACTTCCTTTCCCACCTGTCCTGTGTCTTCTGCAAACTCAACAACAATATCTTCCGTCCCCTCTAACACAATTCAATGGCCCATCAGCATAACAGATGGGAAAATAAGGCAGGTTTGTGCCTCGAGGATGTGACAATGAATGATACACCTCAGCTTACCAAACCATGAGGCAAAGACAGGCAGTCAGTCGACATTGTGCAGTTGGGAAATGTGGACCTGTTAAAATTCGACTTACACAACCCCCTGCCAGGGACACCAAAACCCTCTGCAGTCGCATCAGAGCCAGCGCTGACCATTGGGTCTTGGTGACCATTCAGAGACTGGCCTGCAGCCCTGGGGGTATCCACTCACACGTCCACCCACAGGAACTTCCAAGAGCCCTGCAGGCTCCCTGTACAGGCTCCTCAGCTGAGTGACTGACCATGACCGATCGGTCAGCTACACCCAGTGGTCATCTTCAGACCATAAAGTACTGGAGCAGAATTAGGCCATTCAGCCCATCGAGTCTGCTCCACCATTCAATCATGGCTGATATGTTTCTCAACCCCATTCTCCTGCCTTCTCTCCATAACCCTTCATCCCTTAACTCTTCAAGAACTTAGCTCTGTCTTAAATGTACTCAATGACCTGGCCTCCACAGCCTTCTGTGGCAGTGAATTCCATAGATTCACCACTCTCTGGCTAAAGAAGTTTCTCCTTATCTCCGGTCTAAAAGGTCTTCCCTTTGTTCTAAGGCTGTGCCCTCGGGACCTAGTCTCTCCCACTGGTAGAAACATCTTCTTCACACCCCAGTCTATTCAGGCCTCTCAGAATTCTGTAAGTTTCAATCAGACTCCCCCTCATCCTTCTAAACTCCATCGAGTACAGAGACAGACTCCTCAATCACTCCTCATATGACAAGCCCTTTATTCCCTGGATCATTCTCTAGACCCCCTCCAATGGCAGCAGATCCTTCCTTAGATGCGAGGCCCAAAACTGCTCACAATATTCTAAATATGATCTGAGCAGAGCTTTATACAGCCTCAGTAGTACATCCCTGCTTTTGTATTCTAGCCCTCTCAAAATGAATGCTAACGCTGCACTTGCCTCCTAACTGCCGACTGAACCTACTTGAGAAAGGATGTACTGGCACTGGAGGGGGTGCAAAGGAGTTGAGGGGGTTGGCTTATGAGGAGAGACTGAGTAGATTGGGATTATATTCATTGGAATTCAGAAGATTGAGGGGGATCTTATAGAAACATAAAAAATTATGAAGGGAATAGATAAGATAGAAGTAGAGAGGATGTTTCCACTGGCAGGTGAAGCTAGGACAAGAGGGCATAGCCTCAAGATTAGAGGGAGCAGATTTAGGACTGAACTGAGAAGGAATTTCTTCACCCAGAGGGTTGTTAATCTATGGAATTCCTTGCCCAGTGAAGTAGTTGACGCTACTTCAGTAAATGTTTTTAAAAAAAAGGTAGTTTTTTTTGAACAATAAAGGAATTAAGGGATACGGTGAGAACGCGGGTAAGTGGATCTGAGTCCACAAAAGGATCAGCCATGATCTTATTGAATGGCGGAGCAGGCTCGAAGGGCCAGATGGCCTACTCCTGCTCCTAGTTCTTATGTTCTTAAGAAAATCTGAACTAGGACTTTGTGCTTCAGATTTCCGAAGTCTTTCCCTGTTTAGAAAATAGTCTATGCTTCTATTCTTACCACCTCACACATTCCCACATTGTATTCCATCTGCCACTTCTTTGCTTCCTCTCCTAACCTGTCCTTCTGCAGCCTCCCTTTCTCCTCAGCGCTATCTATACCTCTATCTATCTTTGTATCATCTGCAATCACCTTCATTTCTTTTGCACAATAAACTTTCGTTTCATTGTTAAACCTGAATCTGCAGCATTGTGCTTCTGTGCTTCAGTGCTTCAGTGAGAGAACACTATGGTTAACTAAAACAAAAATAAATATCCATCAAGCCAGACCTCAGTCTGGAAACTGGCACTTGCAGTAAAACATCAACGGGAATCATGACAATATCACCTTTTATATTATAAAAAGGATTGCAACCAAACCGAATCTGACATGGAGTCACATAAAGCTGAGTGGTATTATCACTAGACTTTAAATCAAGAAACACAGGTAATGCACTGGGGACCCAGGTTCAATCCTGTTATGGCAGATGATGGAATTTGAGTTCAATACAACATCTGGAATTAAGAGTCTAATGGTGACTGTTGATTGCTATAAAAACCCATCTGGTTCACTAATGTCCTTTAGGGAAGGAAATATGTCATCCTTACCTGATTTGATCTGACCCCAAGCTTCCAGTTACCTGCCACTTTAACACACCACCCTGTTCCATGGCCAACATCTCTGTCTCTGGCTTGCAGCAGTTTCCAGCAAAGCTCAGCACAAGCTGGAAGAACAACACCTCACTTTCCACTTGGGAATGCTGCCGCCTTCTGGACTCAATGGAGTTCAATAATTTTAGAGCCTGAGGAACTTCTCCCTCGTCCTTACCCCAACCCCCACACACTGGGCTCCATCATCCCACTGGCTGCTAGGTTGACCTTTACCCACGCCTTTGTCTGCCCAACTATTTTTCTCTCTCCCTGGGCTCTATCCCCACCTATCGTTTATTCCTCAGCCCTCACCCCACCCCATCTTCAGCATAAACACCAATGTTTTCTTAGCTACAATCAGTTCTGAAGAAGGGTCACTGGACCTGAAACGTTAACTCTGCTTTCTCCGCGCAGATGCTGCCAGAAATGCTGAGTTTTCCAGCAATTTCTGATTTTCTTTCTGATTTCCATCATCCACAGTTCTTCACTTCTGCTTAGGATTTTCTGAGCTGATCCAGCCTCTCTTCATCGCTAAATGCTCCATCCTAGGCAACATCCTGGTGAACCTCCTCTGCACCCCCTCCAGTGCAATCAGGCCTCTCCTACAGTGCACTGACCAGCACTGAACACAATACTCCGGCTGTGACCTAACCAATGTCCTGTACAGCTCCAACCTAACCTTCCTGCTCTTACAATCTATGCCTGGACTGATAAAGGTAAGTGTCCTGTATTCCTTTTTAACTCCCCTATCAACCTGTCCTGCTGCCTTCAGTGATCTGTAGACAAACACACCAAGATCCCTCTGTTGCTTCTCGTGTCCTGCCAATCATTGTGCACTCCCTTGTTTAGTTATTGCTTCCAAAGTACATCCCCTCACATTTATTCTGTTCAGGTATCTAGAAGAGCCTGTCCTGAGAGTGGAGTGCATTAAGCAGCTGTGTGTATGTCACATACCTACCTGTGAGACACTGTTTCCCCGTGTAGTCAGAAGGACACTGGCAAGTATTGGGCGCAATACACCTCCCTCCGTTAGCACAGGGCAAGTCACACACAGCTTCCCAGTGGAGAAGAAAAGAGAAAATCCAGGAGTCATTACTAGACACTGGCATTTTATTGCTAAAAATCCCACCCACACATATAAGGAGAATGTTAAACTGTACAGTCATCTTCCTGAAAAGCTCAGACAGAGCTTTCATCAAATCATACGCTGGTCTACAATAAACTACATGGCAGTGGCCTCTACCTGATCATTGTGCATGCCAAGGATGGCAAGATCAAAGACAGACCTCCTTTAACGGGGAACTTTGAGGCTGCAGGTTGCTATAGCAGTGGAGCTGCAGGTGGAGGTGTTATGATAATGTCGCTGGAAGAGCAAACCTAAGGCCCAGGCTAATGATCCAGGAACAGAGATCCCACAGAAGCTGGTGGAATTAAACTTCAACTTAGAGTCACAGAGTCATACAGCACGGAAACAGACCTTTGGTCCCTCCAGCACACACCAACCATGTTCCCAAACTAAGCTCGACCCACCTACCTGCACTTGGCCCATATCTCTCCAAACCTTTGCTACTCATGAACTTATCCAAACGTTTTTTAAACGTTGTAACTGTACCCACATCCACCACTCCCTCTGGCAGATCATTTCAAACATGAACCACTCACCGTGTAAAAGAATACCCGTTGTATTTTTTAAATCTTTCTCATCTTAAAAATATGCCCCCTAGTTTTAAACTCTCCCATCCTAGAGAAAAGACCCTTGTCATTCACCTAGGTGAACATTTGCAAAGCAAAATCAATCGTCCATCAGTGCATCATTTGGAGATGACTTTTTAATCTGCATTTATCTGTTAAATATCTTATCTTCTCCAGGCCACAGAGGTAAGACGGTCTCCCTTGCCTTCCCCCCCACCCCCAACTTTGTGCCTTGTTATCTGTCTGTCTTCTTCAGAGGGTCAGTGCTGAGGGAGCGCCGCACTGTCAGAGGGTCAGTGCTGAGGGAGCACCACACTGTCGGAGGGTCAGTGCTGAGGGAGCGCCACACCGTCGGAGGGTCAGTGCTGAGGGAGTGGGCACTGTCAGAGGGTCAGTCCTGAGGGAGCACCGCACTGTCAGAGGGTCAGTGCTGAGGGAGTGGGCACTGTCGGAGGGTCAGTGCTGAGGGAGCACCGCACTGTCGG